TTTTTTGTAGGAGTGGAAAATTTCGAAGCAAGGACTTTTCTCATTTCATACGGTGTGCGGAGATTCGAGGTGAGAGATGGCTGAAAGTGAGAAAAATACCGATGCGGAAATGTCGCAAGAAGCCGGTAAGTAAAGAATTATCGGTTACTTTGCTTCGCGAGAAAACACCGTGAATAAGCATGCATACGCATAGAAATTCTGCGTCTAGTTTTCTGGTGTACATGCGTAACGAGGTAATTAAGGTGGGGTGAACTCGTTATTCCCGTTTGAATTTTATAAAGGTGATGAAGAACGTGCATGAAGAGAAAAAGGAAATTTCGCGACAAAGGAAAAGCCGGGAATCCGTGAAGTCGTTTTCCCAAAAAGGAAAACGCACATATTAAACGCGATTTCATCAAGTAAAGTCGGTTAAGAAAAATTTAAAGAAGTGGAAAGGAAAGCATGCTAGAAAAACAAAATGGCGAGACAAGGACACTGGTGTGTAGTGTACCGTTGAGACTTGCCCGCGAGGTCATGAAAATGCGTTGGTTTGATTCCGAAACAATAGACGCGCACGTGGCCAAAGCATGGCAGGGGCCGACATGCGAGAGAACTCGAAGGGGAAGGAGTGCGGTGCGTTGCGCGAAGCTCGAGCGAAGGAGAGAAAGAAAGAGAGGTGAGAAAGATATATAGATATAGCGCACGACCGGGCTTCTTCTCCGTTGCCGAGTAGAGACATACTTTTATAAGTGCGCGTGCGCGCGGTGTCGTTTTATCATAGAAGCTTGACCAAAACCATGAGTACATATATATAAATGTATGTATGCGAACATGTATATTATACATACACGATTGAATTAGATTAAATTAATAGTATATGCATATACCAACGGAGAGTACATATATTCAATTGCGCAAAATGAGGTGTGATTTCAAGACGAGTTATAAGTAAAGAGTTAAATTATTATTTTACTCTATTTAGAAAACAAATTAGTTTAAATATTTAAACTGCAGTGTCAATTAAATAATTTTTTTTTAACATCGAAAGTACATATTAACAAATTATAATTTAGAGCTAAAATAAAATAATGGGAATTCCAGTTTAATTAATTAAAAATTCTTACAGTGAAAGAAGATCTTTTGGATCTATGGATATATCTGAAAAATGCATTCGATCTAAATGGAGTGCACAAAGGGGAGATAGTAACCCTTAGTATAGAGGACGAATCCCTAATAATAAATACAGAGTTGGGAGCTAAATACAGATCTGGTGAGTTGATTGAGTTGAAATTAGGTGTGAAACGAGTTGGTGTGAAAAATTAATAAGTATATATATTCATATAAAAGAGATAGTGCTTGTGTGTGCATATGGGCTAGCACATATGCACAACATTCTCACACATAAGTAAATACTTCAAGATCTCTAATTTAAAAAAACGATTAACATAATTTTGAAAAATTATAAAATTTTATCACTCTTATATGTAATGCGGGTAGTATGTATTTGTTGTTCGATATTATATTGCCTAAATTACTCAAATAGATGTACGAGAAGTCGTTGTTCGGATCATTATACGTCTGTTTGCCTTGGTGTCAGCCATACTTGACGTTCAGTCAACTGACTCTTGGGCACAGTCCACATGGCTATAATTAAATCTCCAAGCAGAGTAAATAGCAGAACTTTAATTGTCAAATTTTGTACAGAGAAAAGAATGCTGTCGGATAAGCTGTGGAACAGCCTGCTAATTTGGCGAGAGGACAAACTCCTCAATGATCTGCCGCTGGAGATGCCGAGGACTCCATCTGAGTGTCACCTAGCTACCGAAGAAGCACGTGCAGAAATGGCAATTGTTGAAAATTCAGAGGAGCGAGATAAGGATGGCGTGGACGGTGAGATAGGCGAGCTTGGCAAAGGAAAGATGGAGAGTTTGTTGGCCAAGATGGCCACGGTAGCTGAGGTTGCCAAAGAACGAAAGATTCTACCTATAGTTGTTAGTAACGAAATTGTTTCTGATCCCAAAACTAGAGACTACCTCAATCGAATTAAAGATACTAAACCTGATCCCTCAGTCTCAAAGAAGACAATACAAGAAAATTTAGAAATTAATGAAACTTCAGCCATGACTAAGGTAAAAATACAAGAGACCAAAATTTCAGAAATGACTAAAGCCATCTCGAATTTCTGTATTACTACAACCAAGACAATGGAGCAATTTGGTGCGTCGTTGCTCCAGCTAAATCAGCTAATTGCGACTCAAGAAAATGTCTTGGCTGAGTCACAAAGAGAAGGTACAATAATAGTCGAAACAACTGAAAAATTGTATGAATTAATCAAGAGCATGAGAGAGGAGTGGAGCACACAAATCATTAGACTTAATAATGTGGTTGATAAATTAATCACCACATACAATATAGTAGATATGGAAGAGGAAGGAGAATATGAAACAAATGATAAAAATAAACAGACTGAGAATGTGGCAACCGGTGACAATGAAAGTTTAGAATCTAAAATTTCGAGTGCAGTTAAACAACAATTAGAAAGTTTGAGGCGCGAAGATTTGACACATAGTAAAGAGAACGCTAATAATTCATTGATTAATACAGTTAAAGATACCTTAAAATTTGAATTCATAAATAAAGGTGCGAACATGAGGCGTGATTACAAATTGAATTTAAATATGAAATATGAACATTTCTATGATTACTTTTCATCAGAACTTAGAACATGTAACTTACTGCATATAATAGATAATTCGATTACTTCTAACATACAAGATGAGAGCATATTAAAAGAACAAAAATTTAAAGTCAGAGATATTTTAATAAATCATATTGATTCATACTATCATGCTAAAATAGTGCATATGCAAAACCCAGTAGAGATTCTGAACAAAATTAAAGAGATCAAAAGGTGTGAAATAAATGTAACCTCTCATTCGGTAAGAAAACAGTTATACAACATGAAATATATAATCGGCAAAACAAAGGCGAGTGAATTCTGTGAAAAGTTCGAAGAGATTATTAGAAATTATGAAAATTCTCCGGGTGCCACACCTCTGTCTGAAAATGAAAAACGAGATGCATTCTACAATGCTGTTATGATTTCAGTGCCACAGATACAATCAATAGAGTTCGTTACCAAAAACTCTAACGGTGCGAGTCTATCATACGACCAATTAAAACTTCTAGTCATGCAGGATGAGGCGGCGCGAAATCAGGTGCGAGGTGGGCTAAATGAGGTGAGGACTGCAAACTTGGCTAGCCTGGAAAACGTACGTTGCTATGAATGTCAAAGCTATGGACACATAGGTGCGAAGTGTCCAAGGAGAGGTCTGTCTGGCAGACAATGCTACAACTGTGGCGAGTTTGGAAACCACAAAGCGGCAGAATGCACCAAGCCTTCAAAGAATTTCAATCAGCAAAGAGGAGGATACAGGTACAATAATAGTCGCTCCCGAGGTAGAGGTATAAATCAAAAGCGAGGTTTAAAACGAAAAGCTGAGTATCCTGGTAGATCAGAGAATACAAAAAGAGGAAAATACAATAGTCCTAGAGGAAAGGGCAGAAACAATTATAAAAATACTAACAATAGGTGTGATAAAGGAGGAAACAAAGGAAG